CGAGAGAGGGAGAGCGAGAGAGAGAGAGAATGATTTTGTTTAAGGAAAAATTTATTTTCATTCTTTTATTCTTCGAAGAGGTCACAGTATGTCTGCACTCACATTATTGTCTGCCCTCACAGTATTGTCTGCACTCACAGTATTTTCTGCACCCACAGTATCGTATGCAATCACAGTATCGTATGTACTCACAGTATCGTATGCACTCACAGTATCGTATGAACTCACAGTATTGTCTGCACTCACAGTATCGTGTGCACTCACCGTATTGTCTGCACTCACAGTATCGTATGCACTCACAGTATGTCTGCACTTACAGTATTGTCTGCACTCACTGTATTGCCTGCAATATCTTTAACACAAAATCCTTAAATATTTGTGAAACCATAGAAATGCACTTCAAACGAAGAGGAGGATATTTACACATATTCTTACGGATTTTTTCTTATAGACGTTTGGTTTGCAATTATATCAGAGGCTGACTTTTAAGACGGCAGGCAAAACGTGTCACATTAAGTAAACCCAAGGCACTTTAAGACGGCAGACCAAACGTGTCACATTAAGTAAACACAAGGCACTTTAAGACGGCAGACCAAACGTGTCACATTAAGTAAACCCAAGGCACTTTAAGACGGCAGATCAAACGTGTCACATTAAGTAAACACAAGGCACTTTAAGATGGCAGACCAAACGTGTCACATTAAGTAAACACAAGGCACTTTAAGACGGCAGACCAAACGTGTCACATTAAGTAAACACAAGGCACTTTAAGATGGCAGACCAAACGTGTCACATTAAGTAAACACAAGGCACTTTAAGACGGCAGACCAAACGTATCACATTAAGTAAACACAAGGTACTTTAAGACGGCAGACCAAACGTGTCACATTAAGTAAACCCAAGGCACTTTAAGATGGCAGACCAAACGTGTCACATTAAGTAAACCCAAGGCACTTTAAGACGGCAGACCAAACGTGTCACATTAAGTAAACACAAGGCACTTTAAGACGGCAGACCAAACGTGTCACATTAAGTAAACACAAGGCACTTTAAGACGGCAGACCAAACGTGTCACATTAAGTAAACACAAGGCACTTTAAGACGGCAGACCAAACGTGTCACATTAAGTAAACACAAGGCACCAACTACAAAGTTAAATGGCAGAATTTCTCTACTAGGTAGTTTCAAATTAAACAAATGAACGTTCTGTTCGACGTTTTCAAGCCTGGTGGCCTTAAACACCACCCCCACCCCACACACACTTTTTTAAAAGTACATGTACATTAAAAAAATGTAAATAGACGAAAAGGCCATAAACAAATAAAAATTACTTTTCATCTTTTAAAAACACGCTATTCAAGAATCAATGACTGACACATGGGGTTTATCTCCTTCCTGGGATTCGTGGGATCCCGTACGATTTGTAGTAAACAAAAGACTTCTCGGTGCACTTTCCCTCCCCGGGAAGTCCAGGGTATGCACTTTTAGCACATATATATTTATAATATATATGTTGCTATAAGCAAGGAACTTTTAGCATCTATATAGATCTATGTTTCTATAGGCAAGGAAATTTTAGCGTATATATATGTTGCTACTAGCAAGGAACTTTTAGCATTATATATATATATATGTTGCTATAGGCAAGGAACTTTTAGCATATATTTATGTTGCTGTAGGCAAGGAACTTTTAGCATATATTTATGTTGCTGTAGGCAAGGAACTTTTAGCATATATTTATGTTGCTCTAGGCAAGGAACTTTTAGCATATATATATATATGTTGCTATAGGCAAGGAACTTTTAGCATATATTTATGTTGCTATAGGAAAGGAACTTTTAGCATATAAATATGTTGCTATACGCAAGGAACTGTAATTAAGAGCGCTGAATTAGTGAGCTAATTTCTTCTATTACACAGGTTCTTAAGTGTTTTCAAGTCAGGACCACTATTGTATGACGACCCCATTCCATGATAAAAACATGCGAACGTGCGCCTTCCGTAAGTCTCAAGGAGTACACGTGGTATCGAGAGTTTGTCACTTTCGGAGGAACAAAGTTGTCTATTTGGTACATAAAGCGTCATGAGCGCTTTGAGATAGGACGGAGCCAGGTCATGCAAGCAGCAGTAGCACAGAGTTGCAATCTTGTACTCTATGCGAGCGCAGATCGGCAGCCAATGCAACTCTCTCAGAAGTGTTTTAGCGTGGTCAAATTTGCGTTTGCGAAAAACAATGCGAGCCGCATTATTCTGTACCTTTTGAATTTTATCCAGCAGCGTAGCTGGAAGACCCACCATGAGAGCATTGCAGTAGTTCATGCGTGATAGCACGAATGCAGACATCGGCCTCTTTGTTGCATCAAACGTTAAGAAAGGTCTGATATGACTAATTCTGTGCAGCTCTTGAAAAATCGCCTTGGAAATCATGTTAATGTGATTCTCCATAGATAGTGTTCTGTCTAAGTAGACACCCGGGTTTCGCACTGCTTGAGCAAATTCAATCTGTATACTAACTACAGTGGGCCAGCAAATGCGAAAGTGCACTTTCTGTAAGCCCATTTGCTGGCCCAACAATTCGGAACACACTTCCTGTCGCTCTCAGAAACAGCCAGACACTGGAGTCTTTCAAAACTGATTTGAAAACATAACTTTTTCGCAAACACCTGTTAGGGTGAAATTGTCTACCATCTTTTCCAGCTAACTATTATCTCCTAGGTGTAAAGTTGCCTATGTTGTTTATAGTTGCAAGGGATGAAAGACTTAGAATGGGTATTCCCGTATGTAGTTTTTTTTAATGTTGCGTTTTGTATTTCAATGTGGTAAAATATAGATTTTGTTCATTTCTTTTTAATATGGATGACTTTTTACTGCGCTTCGACCCTTTGGGGATGAAGCTTGATTTTCAAATAAGCTTTATTATTGCTATTATTATTATTATTATTGTATTGAGAAATTGGCCCTTATTACCGTGATCTTTTAAAAAAAAATATTTTTAATGCTTTCAAATAGTGTACAAACTTATTAAAACTATATTTTCCAGTATTGTAATTAACGACAGACATTTATTGCCATGAGTGATATAGCAACTCAAACTATAAGACACAAATTAAAAAAATAAATATAGATCTATTTAAAATTAAAAATGTATCCTGCAAACCTGGCCAAATCCCTTCACAACACTTATTTGGGTCACGTTCCATGGGCTGGGAACATGTAGCCAACTCTAGAAACGTATTATACCAGGGGGTTTATGTACCAAACGACCTTTACATTATGTGGTGTTTCTGTTCTTTAAAAATCAACTTATAGTAAGAATTATACTTAAAGGGGCTGTGCACAGAGGCGTAGCGAGGGTGTTTGGCACCCGGGGACAAGATTCGCGCCCCGGGACAAGATCCATTTTAAAGCGCCCCCTTTTCTTTTTTTTCAACTCTCAAACCCCTTATTTTCATCAATAAAATAATATCAAAGCACATTTTGGCTCCCCTAACTAGCTGGCGCCCGGGGACATCTGTCCCCCCTGCCACCCCCTCGCTACGCCTCTGGCTTTGCATGGATACAAGTGTTAACAATTGTACTTGTTCTTTTTTTTTTTAATATTCGAAGCAACCCCTTGTTGCAAACTGCTGGAAAAATTAGCTTCCAAATGTTTCGTGGTAGATTTAAAACTAGAGTTTGCGACCTGTAAAGAAGGCAAAACTCACAAATATTGTAAAGGCATTTTTCTTCAAACAGTCATATCCGATAATCCGACTTTTGCCTTACAAGTAAATTATTAGCTTGTTATCTATTGCTAGAGATAAGCAGGGGAGAATGTAACAACACTAGGCAAGTGGAAAAACCTCTCACGTAACTTTAACTTAGTTTTACATCAAGAAAAAACAAACTATTTTATAGTTATTTAGTTAATATTAGACCTAGATATATCTTAATTGAGTTTAATTCCTGAGATGGGTGTTTCTTTTATCCTGTTTTCCCAGGATAAAAAAAAAAAAAAAAAGTTAAATGAGAGACCTTAGTGATGCACTTTCGTTTCAGACTTTAGCTAATACTTCCGATAGAGTAGATTTGGACTAATAATTGGATAAAAGCCTAAATTCAATGTCTATTTATTGAGCTTAAGGGACACTAAAAATAACAACCAGTAGGCCTAATTTAAATATGTTAAACATTTTGAACAGTTTGACAATATAGACCAGTTCAAATGGAGATAATTCATCTAAAATTATATTTCTCAATTCCAGTATTATCAGTGACAGCCCTTAGTTACATAATAGAGATAGATGAGAAAATGATATCCAAAAGACAAGAAATTAATTTATTTTATTTCATGACATTTTGAATAGACTTAGAGCAGTGGTACCCGCGTATGTCCGAGAAATAGATTTGGCCTTGTTTTCTTTTAATAATATATGATAACCATAAATTATTTTTAGAGAAGTGGATGCCAACACATCAGAACAATTTATATTTATTTCTTTAAATAATTTAGCTGAACTTAAGACTTAAGGCACTTTACCCAACTGTTTAAAAAATCCGTCCCCTGTCTCCGGTTTCGACCGGCAGAGACGTAGCTAAAAAAAAAAAAAGGGGGAGGGAGTGTTAGACAGATGTTGGGCTTTGGTGGTAGTTTTTTAATGAACATAATGGGTTATAGTTGAAAAGGGGGGGGGGGGCGCAAAATTAATTCTTGTCTCCGGGTGCTAAACACTGTAGCCTGCTTCGCCTCTTGCGACCTATATTTTATGTAGTCTGCATGTTAGATATTATTTATAAAATGGCTCCTGGTTTAAAAAAATATAGCCGACCCCTGTCTAAAGAACATTAACTCAGTCGAATTATTTATTTTCCTACTTCTCAATATCACTTTTTGACAAGCAAGAGGTTTTACCGAAAACTACATTTTACTGAAAACTACACGTTATATTAATTAATATATTCCGGAAGATAATGGTAAGGGAGCCTACTAGAAATTTCGGCTGAGTTATCGATCTTGAATTCTCTTAGAGCTGCAATACCGGAAATAAAAGGTTGTGTTTATGGTTTGAGTCATCAAAATCAAATTTATTTTATTCATATCTACCCTATTTAAAACAACAACATATAATTATACGACATACGGTAAGTTTTTAAAGCGTTTGGTGTGTAATTTAATCACCTTAAAAATACAAGACTGAGTAGGCTACTCGAACTCAAGTAGGCAAGTCGCTGAGTGTAAACTGATAGTGATAGTGAATCAGATGTAAAGTGTAGCCCCACTGAAATCACTGAGCCAACTGAATCACCTCAGACATGGACTAAGTCCAGTGTAGTGTGGGCTAACTTTCTCTTCTTTAGGTAGAACTAGTTTTATTTAATTCCCAGTCAACATGTCTTGTTTTTGTAACTTGACGTTGTAGGCAGGGAGTCTAACCCCCCTCCCCCCTCCAGAAAATGGGAAGCAAAACTCCCTATTTTCCTTGGACCCTGATCAGTTCTGCATGTATTGGCTTCAGTCAGTGTTACTTTCAGACAATTGGGGGGGGGGGGCAATTCAGATGATCGGGTAGGCAGTGGCGTATTGGGGGGGCCATTCACCCCCAGCCCCCGGTGGCCTGTTTTCTTTTTCGAAGTGTCTACAAGAAAATGGGAAGCAAAACTCCCTATTTTCCTTGGACCCTGATCAGTTCTGCATGTATTGGCTTCAGTCAGTGTTACTTTCAGACAATTGGGGGGGGGGGCAATTCAGATGATCGGGTAGGCAGTGGCGTATTGAGGGGGCCATTCACCCCCAGCCCCCAGTGTCCTGTTTTCTTTTTCGAAGTGTCTACACGTCCGGCGGCATGTCACGGACAAATAGTGCGCGAGATATACGTCCGGCGGCATGTCACGTGACCGCCGGACGGCTAGTAGTTGTTATTATTCTGAACGAAGTGATATTTGGCAGATATTGTGTGGTCTTGTGATAGAGTGGTCGCTTGACGTTATTATGATTTGAGGATCAATAACTGGTATAGGATTGTTGTTTTTTTCCCATTTTAATTAAAAATATTTTATACTATATTTATATTATCATATTCATCTGCAATAGTAGTTGCATGAGAAGTTTTTAAATATCTTGTAGCAATTGAAACAATTTAAAATGAAATATTTTACTTTTATTGGTTGCCTACTCCATACTGGCCCCTAATTTATTTTATGGATTACTGGTACACAAACTCAAATAACAAACTAAACAAAAATGTTTACAAGCCACTTTCACTTAAGTTTTTTTCTATTATTTACATTCAAGATACTCAGTACATTACTTGGTAGAGAAATAGATTTTAAAATAAACAATAGTTTTGAATCATTCGCAGTCACGTGACAAGGCTGACTGACAAGATATCTCTCGCCACTTTGTTACGGCGGTCATGTGACTTGGTCGCCGGACAAATAGTGTGGGAGATATACGTCCGGCGCACCGGATGTGTAGACACTGCCTTTCTTTTTAAGTTTCTTTTATGGTGGGACAGCATTTTCAGCTAAAGTGTTTTTTATCATGGAATGGGGATGGTCAAAATCTCCTCAAGGGCAACACTAACCCTAGTTACACCTTTTTAGGCAGTCCATCTATCATGGTCAAATTTGAGCATAATGTCTACTAGGGCCAGCTGTATTGTCGTCACCTTATCACTTAACATATAATTTTAATTCATTCAGTTTGTGGTACCTTTTAGGGCAGGCCTGCACAACTCAAAATGTAAGGCGGGCCATAATACTTTATTAAAAACTTGTGCTGGCTGTAATACTTAATGAAAACTTGTGTGGGCTGAAAGAAAATAGGACAGGGGGGAAAGCTATTAAGAAAATAATAAAGAATATTTCGTTACTTTGTGGGCCGCAATGTGGGTGCTGGCGGGTCCCGTGAGGCAAGCGGGCCATATGTTGTGCAGACCTGTTTTAGGGCATTTGCTCCCAAAATTTTTTTTATCCCATACCCCTTGATTATACTTAGTTTTGTTTTTAGTTAAAGGTGCCACAGCTGTCATTTTGATGAGTAGGTGGGCGGAGGGGGGGGGTGGGTACGACAGAAATTGAGGGGCAAACAAAAGTGGGGATTGGTCTACCCCTCCCCAGAAAATTTTTGATAAATTCAAAATCAATGGGTGCATTTTGGGTGTACCTGAATTCAGTCTTTCTCTCAGAAACTTTGATCCAGGCATGGGACATTACGTAGGGGTATCTATCAGCATGCAATTAGGCATTATGGCACCCAGTGCTATACAACATGAATTCATTCCAGTTGTGGCATGCCCCAGGATATTCTTTTAGTTCTATCTTAGTTTTGCTCTTGCAGTGTCAAGTTGATAGGCCTAGGGGCAGGGGAGAGGGACAGCAGCGGGTGGGGGTGTCATTGAACCCTACCTAAAATATTTTTTGGTATTTTGATTAAATCGAAATGCAGGGGTGCATTTTTGTGCATAGTTGAATATACTTTGCAAAATAATATTATATAGGCCTTTATAGCACTGGAAAAGTAGTTTAATTCCTTACCATTCAAAGTAAAAAACCACAGTTTTTCAGTTAATGTAAGTTTAAACTTGGGGATGCATCTACAATCGGGATGTTGTAAAAAATAAAAGAAATATTGACCTTATGTGAATGAAATCAAATATATCGAGTTTGACAACTTTCATTGGTCCCACTATTTTACAAATTTTTATCTTTGAACCTTTTAGTTTACTACTACACTTTATATTTAAATTTTACAAAAATTAATAAAAATGACAATTTTGATGCTTTTTTAAAATTCTAATTTGGTTTACTTTTTTTTTTTTTTTTTTACAAATTTTTTTAGTTTTCCCATCCCCCCCCCCCTCTCTTTTCTGAGAGCTATCTGAAAGTAACACCCCACTGTTGGCTTGGTATGAATATTAGTAATGCAAAAATTAACAGTTAAAAATTTTTTTACTATTAAATAAAAATGTTGAAAACAAACAATTACAATTTGGATAATAGCTCTATAATTTTCACATTTTTCAGCATATCATAAGGTCAAATCCAGTGATTTTTTCAAAAATTTAATTTTAGTTGGCCTATAGCTATTGTTTTGTGTTTTATTTACAAAAATCAACATTTGATGGTACCAGCTAATCGTAATATTATTTTTTCAACAATCTCTTTTATTTATTTCCTATATTAAACCCCCACCCCCCAGGCGCACGCATGCTTAAAGGTTATTTGAAATTTAATATTGGCTCTGTTACTTTTATTATTTATCTACATTTATAATCTATCTAGCCAAAACTATCATTGAAGTTGAATTGATTTGAGATACCAGTGTGACTGGTGTGTCTAGTCTTTGACTGTGGGTCATCTAATTGTTTTGTTTAATTTAATGAGCCTGTGGCTAATTAAATTGGGAGGGAATTCCCTATTGAATGCATTAGGGTCAGAGAACTCTTCAGTCTTTTTGCCATTAAAAAAAAAAATTACTTGCAGCACTTCCCGTAGCAATCCATATTATTTTGATTATGATGTCATCATCTTAATTTTATTTTAAACGTTTACTTTAATTATTAGGCCTCATACCTAGGGCATTTTTCTTTCTGTTTGAATTTAATTTTTTTTTTAAATTATTAAAAAAACTATGCATGTCAACTTTGTTCCCTTGGTACACTGAGATCAGATATGCAAAGATGTTAATTAGGAATCCCAGCAAAATTGTGAATTTAACATTTAAATAAAATAAATATATGGATACACACCTGGGTGGGTTCTTTACTGTAATTTTTAATAAAAAGTTGAAAGAGATATATGACAAGAAGGGAAATTTTAACAATAAAATCTTACAATATTGTGATGTGTTGTTCATCAATATATTATTTTATTTTGATCTGAACTTACAAATATTTCTTGACATTTTCGTAAAATCATAAACTTAACTGCTTGGTGTTTATGTAAACATCTTTTAATTTCCAAGTGTTGTATTATATCAATGTAACGTATTGGATCTTAAAAACAATATATTATTGCAGTATCCAAAAAGTATACTGTACAGAGCTACCAACTAACACTAAGAATGGAAAGCTACATTGAAGGTTTTGTTTTTTCAATCAGTGCATTGTTGTGCAGCCTGTTTTTAGTGCCACTGATACCCTTTTTCTCATTCCAGAAATTTACACCAAGAAGTATAAACATTTTAGTCTGCATCAAAGATGTCTATGAGCCCAATTCCTCTCCAAGGTTCACTTCAGATTAAGTGGAATCCAAAAAATTTAGAGATCCGTACTAAATCTGTTGAAAAGACACTCGAGCCTTTGGTTACTCAGGTGAGATTTAATATGCCAAAGTCAAACTTTATCTTTAAAAAATGTTTCTTTCTATATAATTCAAAGTTGCTACATGTCACTTTCAGAGAAGAGAACATAAACAAATTGTAAATAAAACTGTAATAAAACTTTAGTAACTTGTAAAATTATTTAGTATCTCACATGATAAAAAATATTTGTTTTTTAGTACACAAAGCTATTGAAATAAAACAATTTCATCTGAAATAAAATTGTACAATTTTTCCCAGAAACTCAAACTACTTTTAGAAAATGCACTTATGTTGTGTAACTATTTATTAATTTAAAAAAAAATACAATTCTAAGGACATTGGTTATATTGTTTGCACTGGCTACCTGAACGAGTGAAACTATGATGAGCAATGATGAAGCAGGTTGATAAACTCATTCAAACACTGTTTTATAAGTAAAATGGATTAAGGGAATGTTTATAATTATAAAGGTCCTTAATAATATTTCCCTTAATGTAGTTTACCTTAAGTACATTGGGATAACTTGAACTGTTTGAGCTGTTCCCTACAGGTAACTACACTTGTAAACCAGAATGGGCCATCAAACAAGAAAAAAGGGAGATCAAAGAAAGCTCATGTCCTTAGTGCAGCAGTGCAAAAAGCTATAGAGAACTTTATCATTCAAGGGGAACAAATTGCACATGATTACCCAGAAGTTGAAAATGACATGCTTGCAGCAATTGAAGAAGTTAGGAAAACAGGTAACAAGCCAACAAGAAATTTAGAAATCAAATGCTTTTTTTTTAACCTTATTGTTTTTGAGTAGTTAATTTGAAAATTGATATCAATTTGCTAGGCTAAAATAACTTCTTGACTTTTTTTTGCAGGTGAGACAATGGACGATGCATCACAAGACTTTGCTGCTGATCCTTGTTCATCAGCCAAACGAGGAGCAATGGTGCGAGCAGCAAGGGCTTTACTGTCTGCTGTAACTCGTCTTCTGATCTTGGCAGACATGGTGGATGTCCATTTGCTCCTAAAATCTTTACATTCGGTTGGTAAAATTTTGTATGCTTTAATGAATTTTTAAAACAGTTCAGTAGAAACACAGTTATCCAACCTAAACTGGATCTTGTAAGGGTCAGGTGATTAAGAATGATAAGGAACTGCCAAAAAAACAAGTTCTTAAATGTTCTTAAAGTAAAATAGACTACGGACTTATTCTTGGAACATGTACCCCACCACATCATCACAAATTTAAGACCACCCCCCTCCACCCCAAACAAACACATGTGACATTGTTTATGAATGGCTCCTAATCTGGAAGTCAAAAAATCAAGGGTTGAATAATCATGAATCTGATAAAGTTAAAACATTTACTCTTTCTATGAGACTATATGAAGTAAATATTCTTTTTTTTTTAAAATAATTTTTCACTGTTGAAAAATAAAAAATGACTTGATAGACATAGCCATTTTGTATGAGTTCTTTTGGAAAAACCAGCAAAACATATATACCTATTGTTTAAGGTTGAAGGTGACTTGGACAACATAAGGAATGCAACCAGTCAACAAGAATTGATGAATGCTTTCCGTGACTTTGGGAGAGACATGGCGGAACTGACAGACAGAGCTTCCAGGCGCCAAGCTGTAATATCTTGGTTTTGATACACCAGATTCTGATAACTAAGACTTTATAAAATCTCATCATATAAGTCTAAATTATAACCTTTCTAACATAAGAGGATAATTGATGTCTTAAATTGTGCTGAATTCTATGTGGAAACTTTATGTCTAACAGGATTTGAAAGACCCCCGCAGACAAGAAGAGCTGGCTGCAGCAAGAGCTTTGTTGAAGAAGAACAGCTTGGTTCTCTTGACAACTTCTAAGGTAAATAAAAAAATAACTTTATAGAAACTGTCATTATTTAATCAGAAAATATTTAAAATGTCCTTCTCTGTCTTATTTTACATCATTTCATAACATAGCAATAACAACAAAGTTAGAGAAATAACCCATTCGCATTAAAAAGAGATATAAGGTTTAGGTTAAGAAGTGTAAGTTCAATTAAAATATTTGAATGATATGATACAATATATACCCAAATATTACTCTAAAATATCCTTGTTACTAGCTTGACTAGCTAGAAATGAAATTTTTAAATTTGATTAAACAGGCATATGTAAGACACCCCGAGCTGGCTGCAGCCCGTTCCAACAGAGACTTTGCCTACAAACAGGTTTGTGATGCAGTAAATGCCATATCTGACGTGGCTCAAGCATCGGGACAGTCTGACTTACATCCATATGAGGGGCCTGGTGAATTAGCAGCTGCCTTGGATGAATTAGATGTAAGTTTGACTATCAACCTGGGACACTTTTTGTTACATTGCCTTGTAGAAAGTCAAGGTTTTTCTTTTTTCTATTAAAATATGCATCAAGTGTTTTATATTATTTGTTCTACTTTATTATCTAAAATATGAGTTTGTCTTTTTTTTTCTTAAAAGTTTATACACTATTTGTTGCACAGGGTACTTAACTAACTTAAAGACAGTTAATTATATTCTTTTAATTTAAAATGTTATGTATAGAAATGAAATAAATCATCATTGTTACCACAGCGTAAGATAATCATGGATCCTCTGAGTTACAATGAAGTTAGAAGTCGGCCTTCACTTGAGGAGCGTGTGGAGAGTATCATCAGTGGCGCAGCTTTAATGGCTGATTCCTCATGCACACGTGATGACAGACGTGAACGTATTGTTCAGGAATGCAATGCTGTCAGACAGGCTCTGCAAGATTTACTGACAGAATACATGAACAATGTAAGTTATGTTAATGAAATAATAATAATACTATTACATTGCCAAATTATCATGGTTTTATAAAATATTCAAACTTAACAGTTGTTTTTAAAAACCAGGAAAGTGCCAGAAGATCAAAAGATTTGGACACCCACCTGTAGAAATTTGACATATACAGTATCACCACTGTGTTTTTTAAATTGATTCTCTTTAACAGAAAATCTGTTGCTTTCTACTAAACTCTCTTTTTTATTATTATATTTCTTTATAAATGTAAAGTAGGAATTTTAAATGATTAGCCTCTTTACCTTCAAAAAATAATTTATTACATTAGAAGTAGTATATTTTTAAACAGTACAGCAAATAATTAATATGAAAAATTTAACAGAATTAAAGACTCCTCATGAAACTTTGGGAGGATGTTATATTTTTAAAAAACTTTTCTAATAGGTTGTTGGTGTAGTACATCCTTATTTTAAATGTAAGAATGTTGGTTTGACTTAATCTTTAAATTATAAGGAGGTCCTTGGTTCCGATACCAACAGAATTAAAAATTACCATTTTTTTAATAGAATTACTCATAGAATCTGACTGTTCTAGTTTATTCCGAAAGCAATTATAACAAGTATACATAATGTATTTCTGATTTATTTTTTTTAGTAGCCAGAAAGTATATGATAGTTTATATTGTTCCTTTTAAATTAAAACATTTTTGGATGAATTTTGTTTGAGAAACATTAAGACGAAATTATAGCAGTGTTAATTTTGGGTGCCAATTTTTGTGCTCTGGCAAACTAAGACGTCTTAATTATTTAGTCGAAGAGATTAAATAATTTATTTTAAAATATTAACATTTCTTTGAACAATTTTTCAAGATTTAGCTAAGAATTTGATTTTTTTTTCTTAAGTATGCAAATATTTTTTCAAACACATACAGCTATTTTAAAATTACGAAATGTGCAATTTATAGATTTGAAAAATTCCAACTACTCAGAACTGATATCGTGGTGTAGATTTTAAGCTCATGGCAATTTTCTTGGGTATGCTGTATCTTGTTCTCTCTTGTCACATACAGTGTGGAAAGCCTATGATAATGAACAAGGTAAAGGGTGCTGCCCCCTTTTGGTGTAATTAACTTGTGTGCATGTTTCAGGTGTGACTAAATACTCCTGCCCCAAAAAGAGTATACAAATAACCTGTTACATTTTTTGTCAAAGATTGTCTCTTAACTAGCATTGTAAGTGGAAGAGGATTATGACATCAATGAGTTGATGTTGCTATGCATCTTAGGTGTGTCATATAAGCAGCAGCATGAAAGTTTTCATTTAATGCCTTCTTGTTGACTTAAGTTCTAAAACCCACACTTACGGAATATGTTCAATTGAAACTTAAACTTTAATATATTTTTTCACAGAGGGGTGATAACTGTAAAAAGTGTTGTAATAATGTTTGCTAAATATAACAGAAATACTTCTGCTCATTTTCAAGGAACAGAAGTTCAAGTTCATCTTTTGTTAGATTTTTAAAGTATTTATTTTCTTGATTATGTTGACATATTTCAGAGTATTCCATGTGAAAGGTAAAAAAAACAAACAAAAAGCACTAAAAAGATTTTTAAAATATCGCTGATGATGCCACGTGTACAGCATGTTGGCTTATTTAACACAGTTGAGCATGAAGTCACAGAGCCTTTTTTATTTAAATTTATTCTCTATTCACTTACCAAATGTGTATTTAAGATATAATTTCCATAAAAATAAGAATTGGAATGCTGGAATGAAGAAGAAATTACAGTTTATTGAACGTTCAAAATTCAAAATATGTGTTAGTTTAAGACGGAAATTTAATTACCAAAATTTTATAGTTGGAAAATTATATTTCTTAAACAGCAAATATTTTTTCACATGGGCCCAGTGTTATTTGATCCAGAACTATCATTTGTTAATCCATTTTTAATATTTGACTTGAGAAAAGAAAATGGTCCTGTAACAGGTTATCCTTACGAAATGAGAGCTGATTTTTTTTTCTAGTATGGATTCATTTGTTGCTAATTTTGAATGAGGAATTTGAAGTGTTCAATGAAATAAAACAATATATTTAGCCATATTAATTTACTTTAAGTCATATTGACTCTCTCCAAACAGAATAAAAGCACCCACTGCAATGACAATAAACTGATAGATTTGTAGCCCACAGAAAAACTCTTCACTGCCTTATTGACCATCTCATTAGCATGTGTTGTAAACATGTATTGCCAGTATCTATAAATAATAATTTAAATTTAAAAAGAAATCTTGATATTCATTTTATAATTTATTTTGTTGTTCTGCTTTATTTACTTAATTAACAGAAAATAGACTATTTAATTTCTAACCAATTTAGAAAAAAAAAAATAATAATACATTTTTTTAAGGTCCAGTTAAAGGCAGTTTTATTGAAATCAGCCTTTGAAAACTGAAAATAAGTTCTCCTATTTTTTAGGCTGGCAAGAAGGAACCCAGTGAGGAGTTGGAACAAGCTGTTGACAACATGACCAAGAAAACCAAAGATCTAAGGAGACAAGTCAGTCAGAAATTAATCCTCTTTACTTTATATACTTTACTAGAGACCGACCGAAAGTGATTTTTTTATTTCGGCCGAAGCCGAAAATAGGCTGAAAGTTTAAAAATGACTTTCGGCCGAAACCGAAAATATGCCGAAAGTTAAAAAATGACTTTCGACCGAAAATTAACAATTTAGATATTTTGAAATTCATTCCCCCATACATTCAGCATACATCGAAAATGATCAGGGAAAGTATAAATATTTACATTCTTTTTATAAAAAATGAGATAATCGTGAATATTAATAAATAAACATCTAATATAACATCTTGTTGTTAAAGATCGTTTAGTTTGTTCTTAAAGATCGCTTGGTTTGTTGTTAAAGATCATACAGTTTTTTGTTAATGATCGCTTTATTTGTTCTTAAAGATCAGTTAGTTTGTTCATAAAGATCGCTTAGTTTGTTGTTAAAAATCGTTTATTTTGTTTTTTAAGATCGCTTAATTTGTTCTTAAAGATCGCTTAGTTTTTTTTTTAAAGAACTTTTAGTTTGTTATTAAGGATCATTTAGTTTGTTCAAAACAGATAGCTAAGTTTTATCTTAAAGATTGCTTAGTTTGTGTTATTAAAAGATTGTTTAGTTTGTGTTATTAAATGATCGTTTAGTTTGTTCATAAAGATTGCTAAGTTTGTTCTTAAAGATCATTGATTTTGTTCTTAAATATCGCTTAGTTGTTCTTAAAGATCATTCAGCTTGTTCTTAAAGATCATTTAGGTTGTTTGTATAGATCTTTTAGTTTGTTATTAAAAATCGTTTAGTTTGTTCTTAAAGATTGCTTGTTTTGTTTTTGAAGATCGCTTAGTTTTTTCATAAAGATCTCTTAGTTTGTTCTTATAGATAATTGATTTTGTTCCTTAAGATCGATTAGTTTGTTCTTTAAGATCTTTTAGTTTGTTCCTAAAGAACATTTAGTTTTCTGTTAAAGATCGCTTAGTTTACTCTTATAAATCATTTAATTTACTATTAAAGATCATTTGTTTTGTTCTTAAAGATCATTTAATTCGTTCTTAAAAATTGTTAGTTTGTTCTTTAAGATTGTTTAGTTTTTAATTAAAGATTGCTTAGTTTGTTTTAAAGATCGTTTAGTTTGTTCTTAAATGTCGCTTAGTTTGTTGTTAAATATCGTTTAGTTTGTTCTCAAAGATAGCTTAATTTGTTCTTAAAGATCGCTTTATTTGTTTTTAAAGATCATTGTTTGTTATTAAGGATCATTTAGTTTGTTCAAAACAGATCGCTAATTTTTCTCTTAAAGATCGCTTAGTTTGTGTTATTAAAAGATCGTTTGGTTTATGTTATTCAATGATCATTTAGTTCGTTCTTAAAAATCGTTAAGTTTTTTCTTTAAGATCACTTAATTTGTTCTTAAAGATCGTTTAGTTTGTTCTTAAATGTCGCTTAGATTGTTGTTAAATATCGCTTTTGCTGAGAATTAGATGACCGAAAACCTACGGCCGAAAGTCTAAGTCAATTTCGGCCAAAACCGAAAAAAAAACGAAAGTTAACTTTTTTCTTTCGGCCGAAACCGAAATTAAGCCGAAAGTTAACTTTAAGTTTCGGCCGAAAGTTAACTTTAAGTTTCGGCCGAAACCGAAACTTGGCTGAAAGTGATAAAATGGCCACTTTCGCCACCGAAGCCGAAATTTGGTCGGTCTCTAATGTCTACCTTAGCTAATAGCTTTGTAGTAAATTATTCTTCTCTATTATTATGCTAAAATATCAAGCAATCACAGCAGACATCAATAATATTTTCAACAGTGAACATCCCACCATGTATGACACATTTAGTTCGCTGACTATCAATTTACCCAGCCACTATTTTAAATTTTCAGCTGCGGAAAGCCGTAGTGGACCATGTTTCTGACACCTTCCTTGAGACCAATGTTCCATTGCTCGTTCTTATTGAAGCAGCCAAGGCGGGCGATGAGAAAGGTGTGGAGGAGTATGCTCAGGTCTTTATGGAACATGCCAACAAACTTGTGGAGGTGAGATCTTAGTTGTTATTTATATGGTCAAGCTATGGGAATAGGTTTATAATTCAAGTAAAATAACACTAGAGACTCTTGAGGAGAGGATCTGGGGGAAAATTAATAACTTTTCAATTAAATAAACTAATTAAAAACATTTTAAAGACAAATAAATGCTCCGTTTGAATCACTTTTGTTATATAAGTAATTTTTCTCTGATTGATCATGTTGTATTATTGTGAGTTTTTTACCAACAGGTGGCAAATCTTGCCTGTTCCATGTCAAATAATGAAGAAGGTGTCAAGCTGGTTAGGATGGCTGCTGCTGAAATAGACAGTCTTTGCTCTCAGGTCAGAATGACATTAAAACTATTCACAGACTGGAGAAAAAACTGCATGCCAGTTCATAAAAAAGTAGAGCGTTGAGGACCTGAAATAAATAAAATTTATGTCACACTTGCATCATTGTGTCTAATAAAATGCATCGAGCAAAATAAAATTTATTCATTTAATTACACTTAAGCTGGGTTAAAATGTGATATTTTTTTTTTTTTTTGTTTGTTGGTATAATCAGGTGATCAATGCCGCACGTGTCCTAGCAGCTCGTCCTCGTTCCAAGGCTGCACAGGAGAATATGGATGTCTTCAAAGAAGCCTGGGAGAAACAAGTTCGTTTGTTGACTGAAGCTGTAGATGACATCACCACCATCCATGATTTTCTTGCAGTTTCTGGTAAGTAGCAATTCATTGTTGACACAGGGAAAACCCACACAAGGAATGTCTTGATATTTTATTGATATGTCAATATAGAAGAATTTATTACCTTTAAGTTGCATCTACAAAGTTTTGTTCTTATTTCCATGAAATTTATAATAATTTTTTTTTTCAATCTCTCAATTGTGAAAATGACTATTGTAATGAAGAGACAAAATATGCTTTGACTAATGTTTGATATGAAAAGGGTAATGTATTGTCTTATGAAACTTGTAGGTTGATTATTTATCTAAACAGAAGAGTTTCACTTCTTCCAATATAAGTGAGTAACAACTATCTAGAAGGAAGGCCTAACTTAAAAATCCCTTGTTTGATGTTGAGCTCTTTAGAAACAAATTGTCTTTTTACTTTGATGAAAATATTAACAATTATAATTGTCTCAACAGAAAATCACATACTGGAAGATGTCAACAAGTGTGTTATTGCCCTTCAAGAATGTGACCCTGATACACTGGATCGTACTGCGGGAGCCATTCGGGGCCGATCTGCCAGGGTGTGCAATGTGGTGTCAGCGGAGATGGATAATTATGAACCAGGACAGTACACAGAGCGGGTCATGGAAGCTGTGATGGAGCTTCGTGACCAAAGTCAGTGCTTGTTTAATAAATTTTATTAAACTGAGCTTTGTTAAGTTTTTTAATCATAACCATAGACAGCTAATCTGAGTGTATTAGTCTCTTAAAAAGTGTGTAATATCCATACCTAGGGATGGAAACAAAATAGGAAGTTAGTAATAGTTGCTACATAATTTTGTTTATGGCGCACCGGAAAATAATCTTTATTAAAACATTCATTATTTATGGCATAGAAGCAGAAGGTCTTTGAGTAATGTAGCTTATGTTACCGACTGTCATCAAATCCAAAGTATAGTTTGTGTTTTATTGAGTATCTATGAAGTTGTTTTACTTTAAATATGTGAGTTCACACAATAAATATCCTGAAATAAAAATAAAATATCTCTCCCTATCTCAATAGTAAAATGATCTGTCATGCTAAATAACTTATTAGGTTTTATGCAGTTCTTTGTATTGTCTTGAGTTTTTTCAAAAAAATTTAAATGTGGATATTTTGTTTCAAGTCATGCCCCATTTTGCTGAAAAAGTGGAGATGGCAGTTGATGCCCTCAATTGCAATCCTCAAAGAGATGTGGATGAGAATCAGTTTATTGAAGCATCTCGTCTTGTTTATGATGGCGTCAGAGAAATCAGACAAGCTGTGCTTGCCAGCAGGGTAAACAAATGTTTCGAGTTTCATTACATAGAATAATCAGCTGCCATTCAATGACATGGATTGGAAATCTTAAGTGATAATTATCCATTAAAATAATGAAACAGTTTTGCAACTGATTAATTTGAAATATTTCAGACTGACTATGATGATTCTGATAGTGAAGTATATGAGAATGAAGATTATGGCTATGCACCATGTAAGTTTTATATAAAATAATAAATTTGATATTTTTAAGGTTTAATTTTTTTCACACCTTTTCTAAAAATTCATGTAGAAAAATGACACCTTTTAAAATTTTATTTGACTTCTGTTCACTTCATTCATGGTCCTTTTTTTTAAATAATTTTTTTAATAATTTTTTTTGTTGTTTTTTTTTTAAATTATAAATTTTATATCCAATCATGTCTTATTTGAAATATACCAATATTTTGGAATTCTCAAAATATAATGATCCCCAAAGCTAAATCACAGTGTTCATTTAGACAAAAGATACAATTATATTTCATCGTAATCTTAAACAGACTTACTTCATAATATATAATTATATTTAATTCTATTTTTAGCAAGTGTAGCCGACCATGATGATTACTATGGCAAGAGTGACAGAGCTTTGATGCGTAGGTTGCCTGAAGAGGAAAGGGAAGTAATTCAGCAGCAAGTGGAGCAGTTCAGGAAAGAAAAGGCCAAGCTGGATATGGAGGTTGCCAAATGGGATGACAGCGGCAATGACATTATTGTGATGGCCAAGCAGATGTGCATGATCATGATGGAGATGACAGACTTTACTAGGTAACAAATCCTTTCTTACTTATTTCTTGGGATACTTGACATCTAAATTATTAATACCGGTACATATAATTTGAAATATTTATTGGTACTTCAGTGAATTGCATTTTTAAATTGTAATGTAAATTAACTGGATATGCCACCAGTTTCATAATTATTATTAAATTTAGCAATGGTCAAATTCTACTATCAAAAATCCGTCAGCCATTAATTAGTAAAGTAGCATGTTTGGAATGCCACCAATTTCAGAGGTCGCGGACCCTTAAAGAGTACAATGGATGTAATCAATGCAGCGAAGAAGATTTCAGAGCATGGCACAAACCTTGACAAACTAGCCACTACAATTGCTGATCAGGTTTGTTTGCATTTTTTTTAACTCTGTGAGAAATTAAGTGCTATCCATTGGATGAAGTGTTTAAAAAAGAAACGTAAGAATTCCAAAAATAACTTTTATGTTAAAAACTGTATGTAAATTGCTGAAATGTTTAGTGAGTTATTAAATCTATTAGACAGATGATACAACATTTAAACAGCTGGTATTACTTTGATATTTTATAATACTTTATCCTTCGCAACCAGTTTTACCTATAAAAATTCAAACTCCATGTCCGAGAATAAATATTCTATAAATTGTAAGCGTGACTAAAATTGTTAAATTTCCACATTCTGAGTTATACCTCTTGCTTTACAGTGTCCAGATTCACAATCCAAGAAAGATTTGGAGGCCTACCTCCAGCGCATTGCCCTATACTGTCATCAGCTCAACATTACTAGCAAGGTCAAGGCTGATGTCCAAAGTGTCAGTGGAGAATTGATTGTCTCTGGAGTAAGTCCTTTAAAATCAAAATTTACATGGTCTAAGAGGGAAACAGTATTAAATTTCTATTCTCACTCATTGCATATTGATTTAAATGGTTGACCTTTTTTTAAAGATGAGTTGTGAAGAAAAATGAACAGGTTAAGAAAAAATGTGTTTTATTAAAGGGACTTTCAAAAAATATGTTGCTTTATAGAGGAAGGATAAATTTTGTGTGGTAGAGTTAACAAAAACTTTACTATGATATTCGTCATCTATCTTTAACTCTTGAAAATTTCTTTATGGCCGTTTTCTATGAAAGCAGCTTGTGTAGATAAGCATTGTTCTTAAAGTTTAAATTTCATCATCAACCTGTTCCTATAGAAGGTCTTTCTAATTTTATCTTTATCTGCATAAAGGATTTTAATTTGATAAAGAAAGCACTATTTTGAAGAACATTTTTTACATAAAATGAAAGAAAAATGAAAAGTAACAGTCATCAGAATTTACATTCTTCAGCACTATATATTAAGGTCATGTTAGGTTTTTCTGTGTGTTTGAGATGTAAGACTAAAACTAAGTTAATCATTTAAAAAATGGTAAAACAAAAAAGAGGGTCGCGCTGATATCCTTCAGCAGGCCCAATATGTGTGATTGGTCGGAGCGTTCCTGCTTTTAAAAAGTAAAAAGAACTGTTCTTTTTTTCAATAATTTTTCTCTAAATTTACAGGCTTTATCAGAACATAAAATATATTTTTTTCAGATTAAGTGTTACAAAGACATTGTCACTGCTAGGAAGGTTTTAATCACATCCAAAATTTAAAATTATAGTTTTTTCAATTCATGCCTATAATTTATTTGTGTTATGACAAGAAAATGTTTGTATTGTTTGCCTCCACTGTTCATTGCAAAATTCATTTGTGGTTTACTGAAGTTTAAGGTTTATATTTTTCATAGTTCAATCTTTTTAACTTAATATGCATTAAAGTAGTACGTTATCTTATCTTTCCTTGTATCAGCCACTGCACAATACAACCATAAAGAAACGAACATATAGAAATTGTACCAGTTATTAAAAAAAAAAGAAATGCATTCAAATTAGCATTAAAATAGCTTTTTAACAGTCGCAGACCTGTTTACCCTCAAACTCTTAAAATCGTACAATATCATCTCAAAATCGTTCCATACATTATCTTAATAGTAAAGAAAATAACCGTACATTATATCTAATGTATACACCTCAAAATCATACATTGTATGCCAAAATCGCAAGAATAAACAGGTCAGTCGATCTTTAAATGACATTTAAAAAGTCCTTTAAAAACATAAAGTAATCAAATTGATATTTCCTTCATCTCTGTGTAATAATCTACTTGTCATTAACTTTAGCTGGACAGTGCCACCTCCCTAATTCACTCAGCCAAGAATTTGATGAATGCTGTAGTTTTGACAGTCAAAGCTTGCTATGTGGCTTCCACTAAGGTAAACTTTGATTATTTTTTTTTAAATTTTAATACTGCAACCAAGCATGTTTTTTTTTTGTTTTTTTGTTTGTCAAAGTCAAATTTATGATTATCACAAAGATTACATCATATACATTTGATAGTGCCATGGAGGTTGACACATAATGTAAGTTTATTTATGTAACTTTGGGGGATTTGAAATATTTCAAATGGAAGTTGAGTATAGTATGCTTTTAATTTCAATATATAATCTCTTTCAACTTCTTTTTTTTTTCAGTACATGAAAGGATCAACTGTAAGTGCCTTCCTTTCTATTTTTATTACCAGTTAGATCAAGCAGACAAGTTATATGTGTTAAGATTTTTTTTTAAAATTTAAACATATGTTATATAGAAAACTTTTTTGACCTTTTTATTCCGATTATTTGGAAGAGTGTAAGATTCAATTATTTTAACCCAACAGAAAAAGCCTGTTGTGTTGTGGAAGATGAAAGCCCCTGCAAAAAAACCATTGGTCAGACGAGAGGATCCAAGTGAAATGAGTGCAAAGGTCAGGAAGGGTGCAGCGACAAGATCAGCCATTGAACCAATCAAAGCCCTGAGTGAATTTCAAGAAGTTGATCCAGACAGTTTTTGCTGAACAACATTTAGCTTTCAGACCAATGCCTAAATTATGATAATTTTTTGTTTAATGTATGTAATTTTTAATAATTTAATATTTTTTAAAGAAATAGTGCTATTTGAGTCTATTTACTGTCTGTATTAAATCTGAGTATGTGTTCATTTTTTGAAGAAAAAAATTCACTTAATTTGTTATGATAAGATAGCATCAGCAAAAGCACAAAAAATATTTCAGTAGATGTCACTAAATAAAATTATGATTAGCCTACCAGGGAGATATGAAGAGCAACGAGAATTTCACTGGCTACACTGTGATCCATGATTTGGTTTTAAGCACAGTTACAATTTAAATTTCTTTCTCTGGTTGTGTACAAATACATGTTACTTAAGCATTTATACAAAAATTTTCATCATCATCAAATATTTTTTTTATCTGTAATTAGCAAGCTTTTTAATTCCTTCATGTCATCTGTAATGTAAGTGTCTAGTAGTTTTATTAGCAGAGATCTGACCTTGACTTGAGACAGAGTCTTTATATAACTTAAGTATAGTACGCTGTGTGTTTTGACTTAGACTGCACATTTACTGTGTTTATTTTAGTGTTTTTAACATGTAAATTGGTGGCAGGCATGTACATATATTTTTTAATTAATCAAGACCACACACACACAAATTTATGAACTGATCTGCTGTCAGACCATCCTCGTAAGTGGAAATGAGCCTTCTATCAAATATTCTTTAATCATTTTGTCAAACTTGCTTGACCAATCTCTAATTGTCTGACTCTTTAGCTGTCTCACTGCTGGTTCAAAATATTTTGTCCACATCAAGAAAAGGTAATTACTAGATGAATTATATTGAAATGTTATATTGAAATGCAAGTTCCTGAAAATTCCTAGTTTACTCACAGTGGACATGTAGACCAGTTTCTCACTAATTTTTTTTGAGTCATCATTAATCAAAGCTTTCATATTTCACAACATTTGATTTATGTAAAAAAATTTTACAAATTAATCTTGACAATAATTCATCCTGATTATTGAATATTTTTTTTTCCCTAAATGAAACAATGAAAGAACAAAAACATAAGGTAGTGCTGAAATTTAATTAATTTTTTTTTAAAATTGTTTCGGAATCATTATTTTTATTCTGAGCTTAAACAGCTAAAGTGGATTCTATACATATGTTAAATTATTATGTAAATAAGAGATGTCTTTTTTAAAAAAAAACTGTCTTACCAATCACAAGTCTTGGACCAGATGTTAATGGGTCTATACACTTATTCTATTATATCAACGGATGATCTTGTAGATCATGCCTAAAACCTGTCGTCTGCACCATGAACATGGGATCTGACTTTTCATGGTGGTTGTTGTCATTGTATGTTGGTATTTTTAAATTACACCTTACTGATATTTATGAACACTTTTTGATACAAAAAATATACTTTGAGACTTGCTTATAAAGCTGAGTTTTTGTCACAAAATGTACACTTTGTCATTAACAAAACGTTTTTGCTTATTTATACCAAAATTGTCATTATTTTTTTTTTTTTTTTTAAACAGTAGTGATGCCTGCTACTTTCCATTGGGAAAATAAAAAGTGTTGTGATTTTGTGAAATTTTTTTTATTAAATTTTGTAAATTGATCAAAAGGTACAATTATTTTATTTTATTTATTTTTTGTACAAAAAATATACTTTGAGACTTGCTTATAAAGCTGAGTTTTTGTCACAAAATGTACACTTTGTCATTAACAAAACGTTTTTGCTTATTTATACCAAAATTGTCATTATTTTTTTTTTTTTTTAAACAGTAGTGATGCCTGCTACTTTCCATAGGGAAAATAACAAGTGTTGTGATTTTGTGAAATATTTTTTATTAAATTTTGTAAATTGATCAAAAGGTACAATTATTTTATTTTACTTTGGGTCATGGTGATTCAGTGACTTGCAATTTTTTAATTTGATGACTTATCAATATTATGCTGTGTTTTGAAGCACTCCGTTGCATTTCTTGTATACCAATGTCCACTAGAAGTTTGTTTGAATTCTACATGCCAACTGACTTGCTCAGATACTGATTTCAATCTTACAAATCAGATCCATTATAATTACATTATTTATTTTTTAAGCTAAATTATTTAAATTTTAAAAATTGTGTTTAAATTTTAAAGATAGGGACCGCAGAAAATAGTCATTATCTTGTTGGGGGTTCGTCAATTTTAAGACAATCAAATGCTAGCTCTTTAATAACTAAAATAATGGACTTAGATATTTTGTCAGATTACCATTTTTGTATTAAAAATATGCTCCTATCAATTCTTGCGTAACTGGCATGCTCATACCTGATTATGTCAATGTTAATTCTACAGAACATATCATATTTACAATAAACTTGTCACCATTATATAACTCCATGTGTTAAATTGTGTGTGTGGTTGTTAGACCCCCCTGGAATAGAACATTTGAGCATATGGGTTAGACCACCTGGCATAGAACATTTGAACATATGGGTTAGACCTCCTGGCATAGAACATTTGAACATATGGGTTAGACCACCTGGCATAGAACATTTGAACATATGGGTTAGACCTCCTGGCATAGAACATTTGAAAATATGGGTTAAACCTCCTGACATAGAACATTTGAACATACGGGTTAGACTTCCTGGCATAGAACATATGGATTAGACCTGGCATAGAACATTTGAACATATGGGTTAGACCTCCTGGCATAGAACATTTGAACATATGGGTTAGACCTCCAGGCATAGAACATATGGATTAGACCTGGCATAGAACATTTGAACATATGGGTTAGACCTCCTGGCATAGAACATTTGAACATATGGGTTAGACTTCCTGGCATAGAACATATGGATTAGACCTGGCATAGAACATTTGAACATATGGGTTAGACCTCCTGGCATAGAACATGTCAACCTATGAGTTAGCCCTCCTGGCATAGAACAAATGCGTTAGACCTCCTGGCATAGAACATTTAAAAATATGGGTTAGATATCCTGTTATTGAACATTTGAATATATGGGTTAGACCTCCTGGCATAGAATATTTGAACATATGGGTTAGACCTGGCATAGAACATTTGAACATATGGGTTAGACCTCCTGGCACAGACAATTTGAAACAGGGAAACTCTTCAGACTTCAAACACAAAACTTTTAAGATCAATTAAATGACAGTTTAAAGGGCTAGGGATCAGCAAGTTACTGTAGGAGGATGGCCCTGGCCTTCTCTTTTTGGCCCATATCAACAAGTTGAATTAAAATAGTTTAATTATAAACCTGGGCTCAGATGACTCAGTACAATGCTTTGGGAAGCAGACAACCCACCCGCACCCCACTTCCAATACTTAATAGTAAAGGGACAATGTCATAGCGTAGGAACCACTGATCTACAATTTGAAACCGAAAAAAGGGGGGGGGGCGTGTTTTCGTGTTTGTAATCTCAAGCAAGCCTCATACGACTTTATTATTATTAAGAGGTTGACATTACTTGATGCTTGCGGGCCGGACCCATCAGAGGCTGACACGGGTGCCTAAACAACCCATGAGTAACAAACCAACCTTAAAAGCTTTTGCCCCCGGCCCTACGGAAGTGAGCAGTGGGCCCAGCTTGCTCGGTGTGCCATGTATCAATCAGGATGCATGTGTCAGTCTCAAAGTCCGTGATGACTCAGGGCTGTAATGGGGGGAGAACTGTGGTTTAACCCCGGCTCTGGCCACTCTCCAGCTTTAAAATAATAGAGAATATCAGTGGGTTACCAGAAGAGGAGGAGGTACCCCTGGGGATAAATGGCCTGGGATAGACCAGGGATTCTTAAACTGAGTTTTACTAATTGGTTGACCAGTGGCGTACCAGGGGGGAGTACATTATTTGTGCTAGATGGTTCAGAAATTGCCCTGGGATAGACCAGGGGTTCTTAAACTGAGTTTTACTAATTGGTTGACCAGTGGCGTACCGGGAGGGGGGGGGTATTACATTATTTGTGCTAAATGGTTCAGAAATTGCCCTGGGATAGACCAAGGGTTCTTAAACTGAGTTTTACTAATAGGGTTTAGAAGAGATTCGCCAGGAGTAGTCCCCAAACTTGCCTTTAAAAAAAATAATTTTAAAATGATTTTTACATTTAGCCTAATTGTCCTCACTTAAATCATTCCCATAAACTGCCAAACGATCTCAGCTATACACTGTAGGCCTACACGAACTACATATTAGCGACCTACAGAAACCCATCGTTGTGGTGGTATCTTCATTGAGAACAAATTGATGTTCCCATCCTTTCATTCTTTATTCAGCTTTCATGATTTATTTGATCCTCGATCCAAGTAGGGTGGCCCGACTTTTTTAGCACCAGAGGGTGAATTAGTTCGTAAACTTTGAACTAAGCAAACCATTTAATTCCCCATTAACTTTGGGGGGAGGGGGGAGGGGGGGGGGGGGTCAGAAATTTGTGGAAGGGTGGTTGCTCTGTAAATCAGGCAAATGCTGCTCCTTTTTTCGTGCTTAGTTTCTAGTAGCAAATGGCAAGCTGTACCCGACTATCGTGACATTCCACTTGCCTAAATGGCTCCGGGGAAATGGGGTTGATTTAATCATTGCTAATTATTTGCGTTGTTGTTCTTATTCAACGGGAGCAGAGTCCGGCAATTTGCAGGGATATAATTGCTGGTTTTGGCCGCCCGTGTCTTATTATGCGTGGTGAGCCGGAGTGACTCACGGTGGGCCCGGTCACGGGACTGAATAGGCTAATGCTTAAACAGTAAGGTGATACCTTGACATTTGATGGACGCAAGAGACGGTAGTAAACATACAAAATCACGCGGTAATTAGGCAACTCACAATTAGAACTACGCATAAATGCACATTGCGGTATTTAATTCAATGTGGTTAACTGCGTCAAAGTGGTAAAACTAAAACCGAACAATGGCACACACACTAAGGGGCACACCAGGGGCACACTTTTTGACCAATGAGCTCTATAGGCCTACCCATTCATTTTGTCACACAAGGAGCAGATTTTGCCACACGAGCAGGCAGGTTGCATCAAATCAGGTCGCCACCAGAGCAAGGCGCCTCCACTGAAGGTTTCCACAGAGCAGGCAGACTGGGTTGAGGTCCATATGGAAGTTTGGTTGCGATAAGACCAACAGTTTAACACACTTGGTGCACCATACACCACTGTTGGCTCTTGGCACATCACCGCACACATTCATTCTGCCTTTGTCGTATAACCTCCCAGTTCCAAGATACATTGAAAATGAATTTTTTAAAGGATTAAAAGGTTATTGACATATAGTGTTTAAATAGGGGGCGGGTGGGGGGGGTGTTGTTATCCGTCCTTCGCACATGAAGATGACCAAGGCAATTTTCGGGTTGAGTAGAAGCCTTGACTTGAGCTGTATTTTGTTTTAAGTGAGGAACAGTTGCTTAATTCGTTAGCCTCACTCTCGCGTCCTTGTCTGTTTAGTCCAATGAGCCAGCCTTAGTCAAGACGACTGGAAATAGACCAGGATGCTGTGGATGACAAGCAGTGTATGTGTGTGTGTTTCAGTGTGTTCTTTATCCCTTCTGCATCGCAGGATTCGTCATTATTTTGTGTCAATGTCACAGCTCCGTCTCCGGGTTTGATTTCAGAGTTTTCCTTCACTTAGATGAGTTGACATCCAAGGTTAATGAGTCCCACCCATGGTGCTGGTCTTAGATGAGTTGACATCCATGGTTAATGAGTCCCACCTGGGGTGCTGGTCTTAGATGAGTTGACATCCATGGTTAATGAGTCCCACCTGGGGTGCTGGTCTTAGATGAGTTGACATCCAAGGTTAATGAGTCCCACCCGGGGTGCTGGTTTTAGATGAGTTGACATCCATGGTTAATGAGTCCCACCCCGGGTGCTGGTCTTAGATGAGTTGACATCCATGGTTAATGAGTCCCACCGGGGGTGCTTGTCTTAGATGAGTTGACATCCATGGTTAATGAGTCCCACCTGGGGTGCTGGTCTTAGATGAGTTGACATCCATGGTTAATGAGTCCCACCTGGGGTGCTGGTCTTAGATGAGTTGACATCCAAGGTTAATGAGTTCCACCCGTGGTGCTGGTGTTAGATGAGTTGACATCCAAGGTTAATGAGTCCCACCCAGGTTGCTGGTCTTAGATGAGTTGACATCCAAGGTTAACGAGTCCCACCCGGGGTTCTGGTCTTAGATGAGTTGACATCCAAGGTTAATGAGTCCCACCCGGGTGCTGGTCTTAGATGAGTTGACATCCAAGGTTAATGAGTCCCACCCGGGTGCTGGTCTTAGATGAGTTGACATCCAAGGTTAATGAGTTCCACCCGGGGTGCTGGTCTTAGATGAGTTGACATCCAAGGTTAATGAGTCCCACCCGGGTTGCTGGTGCTAGATGAGTTGACATCCAAGGTTAATGAGTCCTACCCGGGGTGCTGGTCTTAGATTGACATCCAAGGTTAACGAGTCCCACCCGGGGTGCTGGTGTTAGATGAGTTGACATCCAAGTTTAACGGGTCTCACCCGGGAACTCCAGTCCACTAGCTTGGTATTGACTCAG